TTCCTGTCGTTACCCAAAATGTGTTCCTGATATCTATTTGCACATCTATCGACTTGTATGTATGTATATGTATATACTTTTATAAGGTCTCATTCAGCCAGAATATATTATGGTCGTCTGCATATGGAGACGAATATTTATAGAGCTATAGATTATATCTATTAGGTTCTTATCGAACTATGAAAATTAATTGTGCCTGTTTTATAAAGATTTGATTTGAGTTAAGGGACACAGATTCAATTTATATGATACAAAACATAGAACTATTTCCCTACCATGTTTTCCTCAACTAGCAAAATATATAAAAGTATTCTCTTGATTGTTATGAGCCGCTTCTGAGGTGAATGAAAATTATCCCACTAATAGTTAGGAATTCACCCCGACTTTATTGATTGTGTTTAGATTTTCATAGAACTTCTTGCAGAAACGAATGGAAATGGGCCACGACCAAATATAATTCTGCACTAATCGTTGAAATCACTTTTAAAATGTACAAATCAATTTACTCAGATTAGATAGAACTTCCGTGGATCATTAATCGTTATCAACTATCGACTGACAATTTATTACAACATCATCTCTGAGCGGAAAATGCGTGGACAGCGATAAACACAACAAAACAAATACACACGTCTACACGCATACGCATACGCACACGCACCCGCCTCCTGTCACACTCACACTATGATACTAGAAATGTAATAAATTTATGCAAAAGCAAAAACATTGGTTTACCGTTTCAAATTAGCAGCAGTTTTTGCTTCTGCTTCTGCTTTTCTGCTGCTGCTGCCGTTGCGGCGTTGTGGGTGCGTGAGCTGAGCCGAGCCGAGCCGAGAGTGCAAAAGAGAGCAATCGAGTGCGATGAGCTTTTGGTTTTTTATATGTTTGTTTTCCCGTTTGAATATTTTTTTTTTCTTTTTGGGTGAGGGGGTTTGTTGTAACGCACGCCTAAATTAAAGGAACATACATTTATGATTCGGATCAATTCGGATCTGGTTTTTGCGCAAAAACCAAAGCGAAATCTCTCCTCAAGCGCTGGAGACTGGGAGAGAACACACACGCACCGGAAATGAGCGGCGGGACTTATCGTATTTTCGATATCGGTTACGGTTACGGTTTCGAGTTCGATTTCGTTTGACCGTTAGTTGTGGAAGTTGAGGTTCGAAGAAGTTTGAGGTTCGAATGCGCTTAAGCGACTTCTGGCGCTACTATATATACAAATGCTTATAGAAATCCGCTAGACTAAGCCACACAAAGGCACATTACAAACAGACACACAGATACACACTGTCTCAGATATACACGGGCACCGTTGCAATCTAGTTTATTTGTACGGGTATACGTACGGGTACGGGAGCACGGGCACGGTACGGTTGTTTGAACTTTTGCACGCTTCCCGTACAGCAGAGGACAGGCAGGCAGGGCAGACGCGTTCCTCTGATCGCTCGTCAGTCGCCAGTGGCCGCAGAAACTGAACTGGAAGCTGGAACCGCGTCTGATTTAGGTTTCGGACTCGGTCTCGGACTCGGTCTGAGTGGAGAGGGTGACATATTTCGCACTCATATGGCGGCCCCAATACCGCTCGAAATTGTGAGGGACGTCGAGTCAGCTTTTTGGATAAAGCCGTGTGCCACTAATCTCCCGAGATCCAACTAGTCCGAGCTTGGCGCTCAATGTAAAACGCGCTCAGTGCTGATAGCGATAGCAATCTGTGATTCTCTGAATCAGATCTTCGAGTGTCGACCGTTCTCTTGATTAGTTTTTGCTCGATCTTTTTTGAGATTTTTGTCCAGCACTTGTGAAACTTTCCGAAATTGTTTTCTATTCTTGGACAATTTTGAAATGATTTTTCCCGCGAGCTTTCCCATTCAGAGTGAAATGTGTTGCGACAGCTTTTCGTTTGGATATGGCAGCACTAGCACCCAGTGCCCTGGTAGTGGGTCAACTAGGAACTGTCTTGCAGGTGTCTCTGCATTACGTTCAATTCATAAATTCCAGTACAGACGAGACGGATCAAGGTTAGTGCAGGTTGTTATCTGTACAACAGTTTCCTGTAAAATCTACCTAATTTGCATTGGACAGCCGCGCATGGCATGTCTTTTGTTCCATTAAATATTCAGAGTGAGAATTAGATCACAATATTGGGTCTTTGTATTCGATACTGTGTCGGCGATGTGCGCATCGGAGTTAAAGCCTCAAAACTGAATCACTAAACAATGTTTTTTGTTTTGTGATTATTTTATAATTGGTTGCAGATGGGGGCAGGGGCCACAGTCGAAAGCTAGTAAAAATTTGAAATAATTCGCACTTAATAACTCATAAAAACGACTCAGTTGCATCGAGTGCAGGTCTATAAATATTCAATTAAGCCTGGGAACTGGACAGCCGACAGCCTGCCACTACACGCTTTTCTTTCCCTGGAAATCGGATCGATAATTTATGCGTGAATACTTAATTTTAGATAACAATATTTGATTGAAAATTGCGATGTGATTTGATCAATGCGATTGTGCAAATATATAAATTCAATTAGCCAGCGATCCGCTGCAGCACGCTGACAGCTGAAGATTTATATTGCAATTGATTCAAAAATTCCCGTCTCTCACGAAACTAATTAGTCTCTCGGATATAGGCTCACTGCAATTGGGATCCCTGAATAGATTTGGGGCTGGATCTGCCACATCTGCAAGAGTTCTTCAATAACAAACAGATGTGTGCCTATTTGGAGTGGCACTGAAGGTCTCTTTGTCTGATTATCGGAAACGTGGGCACAGATAAGTCGGGACGGGTAAGTTTATGAGTCGATCGGGGTTTTTTTGTTTGCCGATTGCCAAAATATTCCTAATGCTTATTTAATGTCTAACCTTGAATTTCCCTGATTGAGATTGTACCAACCAAAATAGACTCAAGAAGGTGTCTGGGTTCTTGTCTCTCGGTTTTGGTCAATCACCAAACACTGCGGTAAATTTGATGATATATTTAATGCGAGGCGTAGTTCAAGAGTTTCGATTTGTTTACTGGGAAACATCCCCCAAGCCGGGAGGCCGATATATATGGTCATATATACAAAATATCCCAAAATATAATAGAACATTTGAGATAAGCTTTACAGGATATACATCCACTCATGGCTACCTTATCTATCTAAGGAAAAACTTATAGAACTACTTTCATTGCACCATCGCAGAATATTCAATAGGGTGATGCTTGTTAGCAAGCTCCTTCTGGGGGTTACTTCTGGGGCAGGACAATTTCGCTGTTCCCTCAAGTCCTACCTTCACATTCTTCCCTTTTCGTCTGCCTTTATGTATCTTTCTTCATCTTTGTTCTTTCAAAATGATCCTGACAATGATAACGATCATATATTATCCTATAATAATCACCTTTGACATACCCAGAAATATTCATTAATTATTTCTGCTATTATTTACCAATTCTTTAACTGTCGAATTTGTAGTTGCTTTCGTTTTTCTCCTCCTCCTAAGCTAGTTCAATTTTAATAATTTTAATCCATATTTAATTGATTTACAACAAAGAAAAAAGGAGCCCCTTTAGTTCCTGTTGGCTCCAGCAATCCGGCATTTGATCATAAATCAGATCCGAACAAATAACGTAGTTTATATGTTATGGCAAACATAATTTGAAACAAACTATAATAGAAATAAACCTCAAATATAAAGGGGCATAAAGTTCTCAATAAATGATTTCAAAACGCATTCACTTAAAAAAAAATTCATTGAAAAAATGGTGGAGAGCCCAAGTAGTGCCATGAAGAAATAATCTTTTAAGAAAGTTAACCAATAGCCAAATTACAGCTTTATCTTACCAACTTTCCTGATAACGCCTATCGAAAAACCGAAATAAGTTCGGAAACTATGGGGCAGGCGAGGCAGCAGCACAATGGTTATACGAAACACCTTTAAAGCCGGTCACAATATTACTAACCTACCACAAAATAAATATACTTCAACTAGGGATCTATTTCGGATTTGGTAGCGCTTTTGGTTTTTCTGCCGCGGCCAGACAGCGCAGCGTGATATTCCAATGTCAATCGCTATACAGATTTCGGTCAGATCGGTCAAACCTAAGTATATGCAAATGAAACGCGTCCAAAGATCACCAAAAACCAACGCAAACCACCGATCACCGATTGTTTTTAGTTTTGCTGGATTATTTATTAATATTATTAATTAGCTTAAAGACGCAATAGAGTAACGATATTTACATACGACTCCACTCCTCCGATTCCGTCGCGCGTTGTTCAGAAACTGAAACTGAACGTTGCCAAATATTTATACTACTCCACTCCACAGCATAGCACAGCACAGAGAGGTAGGCGCCCAAATCGGCGGCTGGGCGCGTGCTGTTATCGCCAGTGGCTGTGCCAGTGCCCACTGCTGATAAGGCTACAGGCGAGAGGAATATGAGAGGTATAAATATGAGTTCTACTATGTATATACCACTCCGTTAAGTTGTTTGACTGGGCCACTTTGCTCCGCCACGGCGGCGATTAGAAATTAATGTAAATGATTCCCAGCCCAAACCGATTTTCATGTGTATTTTTCCGCTTTGTCCGCCCACGGTTCTCGTTTTCGGCTCGTTCTCGCTCTCGTTCTGGGCCAATTCCTATTGTCTAAAACGTGCTCCTATCGAGGAATCGCGAAAAACACAGACATAAAGGCCAATCAGGCGTCGTTGCCGGGTCATAAAAGTCTCGAGCAATGACTCGCTATCGATGCCGACGCTCCAGCGGAGCGGGTTCGCACTTCCCAGCGTTTATAGTCGCGTCACATCTTGTTTGGAATTGCAAGCGTTTTAAGTCGCCATGGATTTCAAACGCACGCAAATCAAATTTTAGGCGTTTTAAATCGCTCAAGAGTCGCTATTTGCCGAAGTTTAAGACGCGATTATACATATCTTGAATATTTATTTTAATAAAACTATTTACGAGAACTACAGCAGTCAAACGTGGTATCCAGACTATTTTGTTTAAACACCTGGTCTCGGAGACTACAATACTTAGAGGCATATTTCCCAAATAGTAGCAGCATGCTCTCCTCAAAAATCCAAATAAACATATTCCCAACAAAAAAGTAAACCTAGTAACCCATGCCCGATGAAACCCCAGTTTTCAAATTTTGATTTGTGTAAGAATACTAGAAAATATCAGTCTACCAACGGGAGCCAGCCCGACAGCATCAACACAAAAAAACAACAAAAATGTAAAAAATTTATTTTTTTTTCGTACCAGTTTTGTAAATATGTAAATAATTCTAATTAGTTTTAAGTCTAAAGTGTGAATTTAGTTTTAAGTTTAACAACAAAAAAAAACAGTGTATGTATGTCTTAATTGTATGTTTTTAAATAGTGTTCAAATTCAAAATTCAAATTCAAATGCAAATTTTTTCAGTCCTCGGAGTCGAGCAGAGCATACAGATGAAGGAACAACAATTAGGGGCAGTACAGCAGCACACACACCTCAGGAACAGTTCGCCATTATTCAGCCACAACCAACCAGCAATTCAGCCTAACCAGCCCCAACAAATCAGCGATCAACACAATGGAACATAAAACAACCAGAGAACAAACTACACATAAGAAGCATTCAAGCAGTGAAACTAATGGTAATTGTTTCACTTCAGAAAACTGCGAAAATACGTTTTCCATTTCATTTTGTGCAATCCATTTTTAAGATAACCGATGACGACTTGGAAACGACTTGGATTTGAAGTGTGGAGTAGGCCTACTGGGGATACCACGTAAAAAAAAAACGCGCCCAGATCTTTACCAAATGTTGGTGGTGTGGAAAAGAGTTCATTAAACTGTCCAAATATAAACGTATAGTACGAATAAATAAAGAATGACAATTTCATTTGCGTTGTATTAGTTATTAGTCCACATTTGACAAATATTCAAGAAACATTTCTAATACAATAATCACAAGAAATGGAGAGCCTACTTGATTTTGTTTGTTGGAAAAAGTAAAAAATCTTTATAATTTTGTTTTTTTGTTATGTGGAGACACGACTACTTGATTTAAATAAAAGTTATTTTTAAACATTGCAATTTAAAAGCATTTTTAAAAGAAAAGCATGGAAAAGCAAGCAGAAATCCATATATGTTTTCGAAAAAAGAAAAGGAAGGAATGAATAGGTTTGATTTCTCTAAGCTACTTTTCCCACACTACAATACACTAGTCTAATTTCCATTGGGTGCGTAAAAATGGCTTCAAATGTTACCAAATACCGATGGCCGTTGTCTATCGAGAATGTACGTACTATTATTCGTGTTGTTCTGTTGTGCATACATTTTCCGCAAGCCCATAAATATGCTTTAAACTGTCGAACGATTAAAGTCGCTCCGGAACCTTCGGCCTAATTTATACGCGATTATAGTCGCTTGAAAGCACCTGAAATTGTTGTGAAAATCGAATTATTTTCAGACGTTTTTAATCGTTGTTAAGTCCACATGGAATACTCGATAAGAGATTTTCGCTTTAGGTCAGGCGCAATCGACAGCTGACAAAAGGTTATTGTGCCTTTTAAAACTTCCGATCCGACCCAATCCGATGACAGCCAGCAATCAATCTACACACATAAGTATATGCACTCACAAATGAATTTAAATATTGATATACATATATGTAAAATATGTATTTGTACCCAGACAGAGGCACGGTATGGAAATAGCTAGAATATTGGTCATTGCGTGGAAAAATATAATAATATATCTGGTCTCGCCCATCTGAAATACAGAAAATTCCCTGAATAAAACGCATTCGATTTCCATTAAACTTTAGTATGGTGTAATTTTAATATCCACAATATTCATGAGTGATCAATTTTTGGGCGATTATTTTATACATCAAGAGAAAGATAACAAATCTCGTGTGTGGGATTAGATCGAGGAATGAATTTCATTACATGCGCGACTACAAACTGTAGGCTTACGAGCTAGGAATTTAAACTAGAATATACGTTAGAGATAGAGCATATAAGATATATTTGGTAAGTGTAGGGACATCTAGTGGCCAGCTCTCAAGGAATGTCGATTCGCGGGTACTACTGTACTCTGTGCACATAGCTTTAAGTGTGATTTAAAGGTGGATCCCATCCACTCAACTGCCCGGAATCGCAGCGTCTGTAGACTGAAATTTTGGACCTATCGTCCACAGGCGCTGCAAGACGGCAGTTAAGGTTTAAGGAACATCCGATCCGAGATTAGTTTTATCTTTTGTTGCTGTGCGTAAATGGTTAATTCTTGGATTACTGATATTGGGAGAGAGCTTGCGTTTTCTTGCGACTCAACAACGTAAATTCATTCACTAAATAGGTGCTAACTAGATGCGATGTGAGAGATTTTTGTGGCTCCACATTGCTCCTTTGCTGCAGCGAGTGGGACACGAGTATTGGATGTGTGATGCGGTGATGCCTGCGGTGTGGTTTATTGGTCTGCCACATCCACAACACTCTTATGCTAATCCTTTACTTGGATCTACTTGAACAGACGCTTCAATATGCTCTGGATGGTCGTCAGCGACTGATCCTCTATGAGGAACGTGCGATGGTTGCCCTCCACAGTGTGTACTTCGACGGGTTTTGTGCAGACCTAAAAGGATAAATCAAAAGTTACATTTTGTGTCCCAATTTTGTTTGCAATTGTTGTATGGAAACCTACCTCTTTTAGGCGATAGTCCTCATCCAGCTTTGCAGAGTTTTCTGTGGGCTTGACCAGAGTGACGTTAGACTTGAGCTTCAGCGTCGGCTTGTAGCTGTCGGCCAGCTCCAGTTTCTTGTAGAACAGAGTAGCGGACTTCTTGATCTGTTGACCGATAAAAAAAAAAACAAAGAGAGTTCTAAAAAGTTCCCAGGTTATAAAAATGTGTCTGCTTTCTTACCGTCTCCACGGGCTGTGTGATCTCCAAGCTCATAAGCTCGGCAAATTTCTCCAGTTTTTCCTCCCATGTGGGGATCACCAGAAGCAGTCGTACCAGCTATAAAGGGCAATGAAATGATGAGTATTCCTCCATTTATTATCTAGTGTTCCTCTGGACTTACCGCCTTGTAGTCAATGTTGGCCAGGACAATGCCAAAGTAGGCCAGACCGTAGCTCTGGTTGCTGTTCGCGTCGTCGGCCGTGTAGCGCTGCTTGAAGCTGCTCGTGTACCAGTTGACGTAGGTGGGCGCTCCGTCCAGCATGATCACGTTGGCTACTTCGTTGGTGTCCTCCAGGATGGCGGTCATAACGTAGGTGAGCAGGCAGCCAAACGAGTATCCGGCTAGCTTGTAGGGTCCCTTGGGCTGAACTGTACGGATCTGTTGGATGTAGAACCTGGCCGCAGCCTCAACGGAATCGACGGGGACGGCATCGGTGAACTGGAGTCCATAGGCAGGCACCTCCAGTCGCTTGGCCAATGGCTCCAGTGCGGACGCAAAGCCTTCGATGGGCGAAATGAAGAAGATGGGCGTCTGCTTGCTGTTGGCCGGCGCCTTTGTCTCCAGTCGCACAATAGCCTCTGTGGGTATCAGTGCCGTGGTGAACACCACCTGCGTTCCATCGCCCAGGGGGCTGGTTGTGCGCGAGGACGGGTTCGATGTGATGCTGGTGGCATCTGCTGGCGCACCCGATCCATTAACAGCACCGGCGGCGGCCGAAGCTGTTACAGGTTTCGTATCGGCTCCACCATCCATTTGCTTGAGAGCTCCAAATGTCAACAGACGGATCTCTTGGGCGGACAGCACAATGTCAAAGTTCCTTTCCAGAGTCTGCTTGATCTCGGCACTCATCAGCGAGTCCATGCCCAGATCAGCTAGGGAGGCGGCATCCTGGATATTCTTGGTGTCGCGCAGACCCAAAATGTTGGCGATGGTCGCAATCAGGCTGACGCCGGCCGACGAGTCGGATTTGCGCTTCTCGGCCACCACCATGGATGCCACGACGGGATGCGGCTGCTGCAGGAACAGGTCGATGGTTTGCAGGCAGGAGGGCATGCGCTGGGGCAGGGTGCCTCCGATGACGGTGTCATTGTCGCCGAGATTCTCCAGCACCAAACCGGTATCTCCGATGGCTCCCCACTGGATGGCTGTGCCGGGGAAGCCGCTCACCTGCCTCTGCTCGCAAATCCGCTCCATGGCAGAGTTGGCCAGGCCGTAGTTCGTTTGGCCGATGTTGCCGCGGCCGCAGGACACACTGGAGAAGCAGATAAAGTAGTCCAGCTCCGTGCACGTGCTACGCGAATATTGGTCCAACCACTTGGTGGCCGTCACCTTGGGATCGGCCACCGTCTTGAAGTCCTTGGCAGTCTGATCCTCGATCAAGGCATCCCTGAGCACGGCAGCCAGATTGAAGATGCCTCCGACCAAAGCCAGCTTGTTGCTGTTCTCCAGCAGCTTCTTGGCCCCAGCGGCGGTGGTCACGTCGCTCGTATCGATCACTACCTTGACGCCACGCTCCTCCCAGCGACGGATCATCAGACCCTGGTAGCCGGTCTTCACGCCCGACCGAGAGGTGAGCACAATGAAGCGGGCACCGCGGGACACCAGCCAGTTGGTAAGCTCCAGGCCGAAACCGCCAAGACCTCCAACCAGGATGTAGCTCTTCTCCGGGTGCATGTAGGTGCGGGGAATGGCATTGATGAGACGCGCCTTTGGCTTGAGAGCCTTCTTGCCGGCCTCCTCGTCGCGCACCTTGATCACGACTTTGCCGATGTGCTTGCCGGAGGCCATGAACCGGAAGGCCTGCTCCACTTGCTGGTCGTTGAAGACGGTCGTGGGCAGCGGCAGGACAGCACCGCTCTTGATGCCCTCGGCCACCAGGGTGACGACCTGGTTCTGCATCTCCTCCTCGCCCTCCATCACGCTGTCCAGCAGGATGCCGTGGAACGAGGTGTTCTTGAGGAACACGGACATGCCCAGGGGGCTGTTGTTGCTCAAATCGAATTTGCCAATCTCCAGGAAGCGTCCATTGAGACCCAGGCAGCGAATGGAAGCCTGCAGCTTCTCCTCGGAGAGGGAGTTGAGCACCAGATCCACACCGCGCCCCTTGGTCTCGCGCATCACTAGCTGCTCGAAGGAGGTGTCACGGGAATTGCCAATGTGCCGCTCCTGCAACTTGGGGAATCGCTTCAGCAGGAACTCGCGCTTCTCCTTGCTGCCGACGGTCGTGAAGACAGTCAGACCATGAGCCAGGGCCACCGAGATGGCCGCCTGGCCCACTCCTCCGGATCCTGCATGGATGAGAATGCGCTCGCCCTTCTTCATCTGTCCGCGCACCACCAAAGCGTAGTAGACGGTGGAATAGACGCAGGGAACGGTGGAGGCCTCCTCCATGGTCCACTTGTCGGGTATCTGCCACATCATGCGCTTGCTGGCCACACAGGTAGTGGCCAGCGACTTGGCCGGCACCATGGCCATGACGCGACGTCCCTGTGTGTCGCGTCCGGCAAACTCCAGTCCGAGAACGCAGTCCTGTTCGGCGAGGTCTCCGGGTAGGGCATCGGCGGCCAGTTTTCCGGATGTCAGCATCACGTCACGGAAGTTGATCGGCGCATAGTAGACGGTACAGGTCTCCAGGTTCTTGTCGGCCGCGACGGCAGTGTCGCCCTTGGCCGCTTCGATCCACTTGAGCGACGCTAGGTCGCCCTTGACCAGAGCATTCACGTAGGCATGCTCCACCTGGAGTGTGGCCTGTTGGGTCTCCAGCTTCAGGTGGCGGAAGGTGCCCCAGGCGCCGCCCTTTAGCACATTCGAGATGAGGTCCTTCTCCAGCTGCTTGCGGTAGAGCGGCGCAGTCAGGGAGAACTTCTCCGCCTTGGCGTCCTGGACAAACACGAGGCGCGCCAGCTTGCCGCCGTTCTCGTT